AGACTGTTAACCACCCACGGACAACTTTACCAGGACTGTATCAACAAGTTAGGTACAGACTGTTAACCACCCACGGACAACTTTACCATGACTATATCAACAAGTTAGGTACAGACTGTTAACCACCCACGGACAACTTTACCAACACTGTATTAACAAGTTAGGTACAGACTGTTAACCACCCACGGACAACTTTACCATTATACAGTAAAGTTGTCCACAGGTAGTTAACAATCTGTACCTAACTTGTTGGACTGTATCAACAAGTTAGGTACAGATTGTTAACCACCTATGGACAACTTTACCATGACTGTATCAACAAGTTACGTACAGACAATTAACCACCTGTTGTCAGCCTTACCAAGACTGTATCAACAAGTTAGGTACAGATTGTTAACCACCTATGGACAACTTTACCATGACTGTATCAACAAGTTAGGTACAGACAATTAACCACCTGTTGTCAGCCTTACCAAGACTATATCAACAAGTTAGGTACAGACAATTAACCACCTGTTGTCAGCCTTACCAAGACTATATCAATAAGTTAGGTAGAGACTGGTCTCTTCACAATAAAACATATACTTTTAATATTACAAAAAATACCTGCCTGCATTGTATGCATGTCAACAGCTTCCAAAAACAGTTGTCTACTTAATTCTTCTAGAGCAGCAACTTCTTGTTTCAGCTGACTAACATCTAGTTTTGAATTAAGTCTTTATATTGAGTATGATACGTATCAAATCAACCAAGACATAAAAATGTTAATAACTACTCTATATTTTTTATTAAAAAGAAATTACAGCAAACCTCAAAATGTCCAGATCAGTTCTAGATATCCATTCAGTATATAAACCTTGGGATATTTTGTTTAAACACTGCATACAGTGTAAAATCATCCTTGAATAATTGTGAAACAATATTACATTACATCAGGATGAGTAACGAGTCAGCTAATGTCAAATGAAGGGAATACTAGATGTATTAATAACATGAACAAGGATCTGAAGTGAAGTTGAAGGGAATACTCAATATATTAACAACAAGAACAAGGATATGAAGTTGAAGGGAATACTAGATGTATTAACAACATGAACAAGGATATGAAGTTGAAGGGAATACTAGATGTATTAACAACAAGAACAAGGATCTGAAGTGAAGTTGAAGTGAATACTAGATGTATTAACAACAAGAACAAGGATATGAAGTTGAAGGGAATACTAGATGTATTAACAACAAGAACAAGGATATGAAGTTGAAGGGAATACTAGATGTATTAACAACATGAACAAGGATATGAAGTTGAAGGGAATACTAGATGTATTAACAACAAGAACAAGGATATGAACATGAAGGGAATACTAGATGTATTAACAACATGAACAAGGATATGAAGTTGAAGGGTATACTAGATGTATTAACAACATGAACAAGGATATGAAGTTGAAGGGAATACTAGATGTATTAACAACATGAACAAGGATATGAAGTGAACTTGAAGGGAATACTAGATGTATTAACAACAAGAACAGGGATATGAAGTTGAAGGGAATACTAGATGTATTAACAACATGAACAAGGATATGAAGTGAACT